ATCATTTCATAGAATCTCGTCTTACACGTACATCACGTCCTGAAATTCCACGTCTACGTCTTGAATTTAAATATGCTACACGTGAACTTGGTGATTATGTACAGGAACAATTAATACGATCATTTATATTAGTATATTTAGAACAAGATGGATACTTTTTTATACGTATGTTAACAGTTAATGTATCTGATTTTATTGTACAAGAAATAATTGAACAATTATGGTCTCGTTATGTAATGAGATACGGTGAAAATGATGCTAAACTTGCTGAAGCATCTTATTATCAGTTTCGAAAAGAAAAAAAACATGTATCAATAATTAGTATGCAAGCACCTATGTCAATTATTATGGATGAACGTTCTGGAGCACATGATGCTAAACGAAAATATTTGAAACAACATTCTGATATGCCAACAGAATTATTAATGCCACTAACTTCACATGATTCAAGCTCAAGCTCAACTCAGAAAAAGAAACAAAACGCCTAGTCTCGGTTTTCTTTTTGTTTTGTCTTTTGAAAAATAACATACTGTGTAATTGTATAATAAATTATTTAAAAACAAAAACAACATAGAATCAGAATATTTCAGGAAATATCTCATCTATTATAGAGTTTTTTTTATAATTTTCTGAATATACGACAGTTTTCTTATTGTTTCGAAATGTAAGTTTATATTTCAAAGAAAATATTTATCATCGAACAAATTGAATCAGATGTTAAAATGATTAGAGATATATAAAAATTAAACAAGATTAAGATCAAAAAATTGATGAGTGTGAATTTCCAGGTGGGGGATATTAAGATAAGACCAACCCTCATACGCTCAGCTCAATATTCTGAATTCTGAAGATACATGAGTATGGAGTTGGGAACCCATGTCGTTACACCAAATTCATTCCAAATCGTTAATTTAGCGGCTATGAGTACCACGAATTCATTAAGTGAATATCCTAATAGTTATCATTTGAATATCAATATCCGAATTATGAATATTATGATATTCATCAAATTTCTAAGAAAAATAAAAAATAAATGACGTGGTTGAAGTTGCTAAGTTAGAATTTAATTAAATCGGAAGGACGTATAAAAATATTACTAATATCATCATCAAAATCAGATATACAACGACTATTATCGACGCCAGCAGTCAAGTCATGTGGCTTTTAGCAATCTACAGCTAAGACTCTCAGGTATATTTTTATAAGTAAAACTTCTTTCCGAAAAAATTCCAAAAATTGTTTTTTTCAGAGGATCTCTGAAAAATCAAGTCGTATGCCTGATGGTTGTAGATGATATGAATATCCACACACATACCTACACTCTTAGATCAGGAGTTTCAGACGCCCGAAGATTTATACATTATTCAATCAAACTCTTCAAAACGGCATGAAAAGAGAGATTATCCATTAGTTTAAGTCTGATGACTATGTTTGTTCTCTATAAACAATGCAAGAACCATACGAAACCCTACAGTAAAGTCAGCAAAATGATTTTCGGCATTTCCATAAGAACTCGAGAACTATATAAATCTGTGAGAATTCTTTCGAAGTGCTTCAGGATATCAAAATCTATTCAATTTTATATGCAACGTACCGTCAAACACAATCAACAAAGGTTTTTAAAAACCAGTAGGAAACATTATCGTTTCTGCAAAATTTTTCAGACATCTTGCCTATCAAACATCGAGAAGATTCTGATTTCTGGAAGCAATTCGTTTTGTTGACTTACTGTAGAGTTCTGAAGAAAATAAAGACTTCGATCATTGAAAAACTTCTAAATCCTTTTTCGAAATTTCGCTCGTCATTACAAAGTTCTTGAAAAGACTTATGACGCGTTTGAGAAACGTTTTTAAGAGCTTCGTATCTATGCACGAAACTTTTAAAAGGATTTCGAGTTTGTTTCTATGCTCGAGATCTTTTTCAGGTTCTGTAACGCATCATTTTTTCCTTCAGTGTAGTCGTAAGACTCAATCTAATCAAATGCCACACTGAAACATTCTGAGTGTATGCGAATTGAGAAAATTCCTGTCTATAGGAGCTATTCCACAGCTAAGTAACGACCGTCTTCAGAATAAGGTTGCACAATCATTTCACCGATTTGACTGATATTTATACAATAGATGGATACATCTGAGTTAGGAGTAAACTGGAAGTTTCTGCTTGAACGGATGAGATATTCAGGAGATATCGATGCTGCAAGTATAGCTATTGTGCTAAATTTGAAGTATCTTTTTTTTTTAAAATAGTTTTTAGTAAAGTTTCATTTTCTCAACAACGATAAGAGATTTTTTTTACCACAGATACTATTAATGATGGGTTATCGTTTTATGTTAATGAAAGTAACTTATTATTTGATATTTTTGGTTCAGTGCCATATGCCATTTCCAGAAAGCGTGATCTCGTAGATAAGCCAAGTTGGTCAAATCAGTGTGATAGGATACTTTGAAAGTAGTCTCATTTGAAAGAGCACATTAGTATGCATTAAATGGCATTTTCAGGAACTTGGTATGTTAAAGTTTGGTATGAGAAATATTATAAATAAGATCAGAGACACCGAAAATCCCGTACCATTCGAATTAAAACAACATGGAATCTCTTCTCAAATGTTGCATCGTTGTATTTCAAATGAAAGTCCATGGCATGAAACCTCTAAATTCGAAATTTCAACTCGTTTGGATGTACATGTGACAAATAGCGAAAGACTCATTTTCTCCTATCTTTGTTGAGAATACTCTTTTCACCTAATTTTCCCAGATATATTTCGAGAGAATATTCCTTGGTGACAAAGCTCTTTAGAATGACTACTGTCTGTGTCATGCAACCCCTAATAAACTGTCAAAATCGTTAGAAGAGTTCTGAATGTTAATTTATTTTTACTCACGTATCGCCTTTTTTCGAATTCCTTCTAGAATATTGCCGTGGTCCTGTCAGGAACATCGAAAAAATCGAATTTCAAGATGAAACTTTGTACACATAAAGATCACAATAATAAAAGTTTATGGTAAAAATATCTGACAGAATGGTAGCTCCTTTATGGAAATACGAACATGTGAAAAATTAGACAAAAAGAATAGCCTACAGTGGTTATACTTGCAACATCGATATCTCCTAAATGTCTCATCCGTTCAAGCTGAAATTTCCAGTTTACTCCTAACTCAGATGTATTTATCCACTGTATAGGTATCAGTCAAATTGGTCAGGTCGATTGTGCAACCTTCTACTGAAGGTGGTCATCACTTAGCTAGAATAACTCCTAAAGATCAATGTTGCAACCGGTAGGATTTTTTCTGGGCTGGTACTGGTACCGATCTAAACCGGTCAGACTGCACCGGTCGGTAGATCGGCATTGAGTCATACCTATCTCTGAATCACTACACAAATCACTCAAGACTTCGGTTTCATCACTCAGGAGTCTTTCTGACACGTTATTATCAATAGATATTGAAGGATATCGTGAGAAACGTGGTCCTATGTCCTTATCTAATTCCGAAAATTGTGAAAAATCTGCGTTTTGATGCTCTTTTAGTTTGTCAATAGAGATTTGGATGTCCACTACGACTTGGTAGTTTTTTGGCATGCTGGCTTTCAGTTTCGGCATGGTCTGTGATTTGCACAATACAATTCTCTAAAGAGAACAGCAAAGACTCCGCACTTTAATTGACTTAGAGACTAGGTCAAAGCTATTCTTCGTCGATCATTAGTCATGCAGAGTCTAGTATTAAAACTTGTCGGAAGCATATTATTTTTTGCTCATTTCATATAAGACTTTCTGACAATAAAGACCGAATGCTTCACTTTACTCCATTCTTACTCAGATCTTCAAGAGCAATTAGTTTTTGAGCTTTAACATCTGCATGGCCTTAAATAACATAGATTCAAATTAGCATGCTCTTGTCACATATTGATAGCAGAGTAAAAACTTATGAAACTTTTCACTAGAGCTATAACGAAAGTACATAATATAAACAATGCAAATTAGTAGAAAATACTAATAAATTACAATGAAGAACTACTGCTCCATTTTGTTTCGATCATAGAACTTGGAAATGAAATGACTTGATAAAATATATAAAGTGTATTTCGATGAATATTGACTAAATATGAACAGTCTAATCTATGTTTTTCCATAGAAATAGCCATGAATACCAGTAAAACTAGTTTGATATTCAAAAATAAACACTTCTATACTCCATTTTGGCAAGAAATTGAAGAAAAAATAAGCAAAAAAGTTTAAAAAATCCTAGACCGGACCGGACCTGCGGTTTACCGTTACCGGTTGCAACACTGCTAGAGACAGGAATTTTCTCAATTCGCATAAACTGAGAATGGTTCAGATCTGTTCTGACTGGCTCCGAGTGTAAATTACTAACATCCCCAAAAAAAGGAAATTGAACAATTAATTGATAGATAAAAACTCGTCATAAAAAATCATCAAAGCAGTAGGAATACCAAAGTCTTCAGTTGTATGGAATAGGTTTAGTTGTATTTATGTCAACGATATCAAGCAAATAGGAAGCTTCGGATATACGTGCTTGCAGATCCGCAGCTTCCTACTGGTGTCGACAATAATTAGATACAAAGGAATATCTTTCCAAAGAATCGCATATTTATCTTCTTACTATTTATTTAAATATAAAGACATACTAACAGAAAGAAAAAAAGCTTTCAGCAACGAACTTTATTCCCACTGTAACCAAAGATGTCGCTCTGATACATAGTTTCGACTTGTAATCGATGATTCATACTACTGTAGACATGTTGTGTCATGTCTGCTTATCTATCGCATGATTCGTTTTCACTTGTTTGTTGACGTAGTTATTTGCTTACCTGTACTTGTCATGTCTTACCAATGATTGATCGATCAGGTGAGTAAAAAACACTTTTTTTTTTCTTTCATCGATTCAATACGCTGTTATTTAGTATTATTATTATGTCTTAGATTATTATCCGTCAATATGATAAGCACACTGGATTCTTTTTTTTTATTTTTATTATTCTAGATGAATGATCGAGACGATTTTGCTGAATTAGTTGGTACGAATAAAAATTTTTTAATTTTATTTTGTTTATTAAATTTCATATATAATTATAGGTAGCGCACGAAATGTGACTAAATGTTCATCATTTTATTTTTATGGTCGCATTCGTTATGGAACAAAAGGTGAAAAAGTTGAAGAAAGATTTTTGGTAAAGACAAAAAAAAAATAGAAATTAATAGTTTAGAATTTTTGTTTTTCCTATTTTAATTTTTAGTGTATGGATCATGTTCGTGTGTATATTTGTTCAATAAAAATTCCTGTTAAAGTATAATGAATTATTTTTATTTCTTCTTGTCAAATAAAATAAGATTGATTATTTAGATTGAATCACAATTTAATATTCTATCGATTAAATCAATAGAACGATTAAATGATTCACATGTGAGTTATTGTTTTTTGTTTTTTCTAAATATACATATATATATATTTTTTTTTGTTTTTTATTAATAAAAAATTTAGATTATTATTGAAACAGATGCCAAACAAAGTCATTCATTATATGGTCTTCATGATAAAGCATCATTACAACCACTTCTTATTATACTTATTCGAACTATACGTGCTGTTTTTCCACATAGATTACAAGCAATGTATGTGTTTTAATAAGAAATATTTGAGAAAAATAATATCCGTTTATTTATTTATTTATTTATTTATTTTTGTAGTGTGGATATTCGTCCAGAGAATGAATATGATAGATTATTACGTTTATCAAATGAATATTTTGATGATAAATCAAGTGATATTCATATATGTGGAGGCTTTTCCCATCGTTATGAATGTGCTTGTGATTTTTATCAAACTCAATGTCATCGATCAGTACAAAATGTAAGTTTCAATTTTGAAAATAAATTTTAACAGACATATCTATTATGCTTATGATCTATAAGTTAAATAATGAAAAATTTTTCTAGGATTTTGTTTTTTTTTTGTTTAATGAATAGTGATTAAAAAAAAATTGAGGTTTGATTATGAATGATATTAGTTAACAAATGCGGGTGTAATGGGTTAATTGTAAATTTTTTTTTTTGTTTTTATTGTTGGTAAAATGCATGTTTTTTGAAATGATCTTTGGAAGCAAAATGGAATGTATTTATTCGATAAAATTGATTGCACATTTGCCACGTTAGAATAAATATTCTAATCGCTAGCTCGTTTCATTTTTCATTTTGGGGCTATTCATAAAAGATATCCAAACTGATAGAGAGCATAGTGGATAATTTCTATAGAGCACATAGACATGGTTTATTTTCTATCGAAAATATATTTTTTCCATAGTAATATTAATTTTTAGTACCTAACAAAAAGCTGTTAGCGCAATCCCTACGAGATTAAAATATGAAATACGATGTTCCGGTTATTACTAATCACGCGAATATTGTTTTCTTCGATATACCTTGGAATACATTTATTCATCGATTTTTACTTAAGCCTCTAGAATTGTAATTGATAAACATCTATCATGATCTGTGATGGGTTATTAATTATTTACTAATGAACTATGAATTGGAGATTAGTTAATTATCCAACGCTTTAATTAATTAATTAATTTGTCTGTGATGGATCACGTGACTGTCTGTCACGGTCTGTGGGCAGGGTCCAAATTTCTATCCTAAATACTTCAGCACTCCTTTTAGATCGTATTTTACAATTTCTCATAGAAATATTAATTTCCAGTATTCAACGAAAAGATTGATGGAATAAAGTGAGATTGGTAAAAGAAGATTTTCGATATGAAATGCATGGGGAATCCGTATCCTAAATTTTTGTCGGAAAAATTTTTATATTAAAAATTAACAAATGTCACAACATTCGATGTAGTTTTGTAGTGCTGATTCCAAATATGTTCTTATTTTTCTCTTAAAGTACTTCTGAGACATAAGAATGTAGAAAAATTTAAAATACCAAAGGTTTTTTAGAGAACCTCTGTCTAAGTCTAAAAGCATTTATACTAATTAAATAGACATGTCAGACAGAGAAAACATTCTTTAAAAAGTTTCATTGAGTTTGAAACTGTACTGCAGTGTGCATATCGACTACACTGAAAGGATTTTTAGAAAACTCTTAGTTGAGAAACCATGCATACATTTTCCAAGAGAGAAACTGTTAGAACAAAATTTTTCATATAGAACAATAGAGTAAGAGTTCTACTTGCTGAATCTGTATTATTTAGAACTGCATACTATTGAGGATATGCGACATGCTCCGTAGCCTCATCCCATCGTAAGCTTTTCCCTCCTCTTTTTGGTCTCTGCTCCGAATGCATATAACTTTTTGAAAAAAGAAGTTCAGTTTGAACAGATTTTCAAAAGAAATTTCGATTCTATTATTATGATATCCGGAATATTTTCGTAGTTTCCTTTTTTTTTAATGAAGTTTCTCATAATTTTCTCTATTATATTAATATTTTCAGTTTTGAAGAAGTTGATTTCAATATGTCATAGTATATTGTGTCAGATGGTACTACACTTTTTTCTATTAATTAAGGTTTGAAGGTAATGATTATTTTTGTAACACCATCTTTCATCAATAATCAAACTCGAAAACTAAACGACATCAACTGATATAGACGATTTGAGCACGCTTGCAATATTCAGAAGATATGGTTTCAATCGAAATCTAACAGTTTAAAAATATACACAGAGATACAAAGCAAAATTAAGCAGAATAAATCGCAGTTTGAATGACATAGGAAATATCAACAAATGCAATTTTTACCTGAAAGTTCTTTATGAATGATTTATTATCAAATCCCTCAGTTTCAAACAGATATTACATAAAATAATCCTTGCTATCATCTATCCTTTGCATATTTTTTCATTATTATGATTTAATGCATGTAAATTTTTTAATAAATGTTTATTTAGCTTGTTGATACAGTATTTGCTCATCGTACATCACGTGAATTTACATTTCGCGAATTTGAATCATTTAATCAAAAAGATTGGTTACCAATTATTGGTGCATTACGTCATAATGAATGGTTTATAAAATTAACAATTGAA